GCCTTCCCGGCCGACTTCTGCGAGGGCACCTTGCCCTATTCCTACAACCTGTGCGTGGCGGCGCCGGCCCGCGCCGTGCCCGAGGCCGCTTGGCCGCCGCCGCCGCCGGTGCCCGTGCTGTCGGCGGAGGAGCTTCTGGGCGCCGATTCCTGCGACAATCCCAGCTCGAACAGCAGCGGCGTGACGGCGGAGCCGCTATCAGACGCGGACGCGATTCAGGTTTGTAAAACTCCGCTATTCTTTTTTCCTGCGCCTTTCCTGTGAACGTGTGGCTTTCTGTTTTTCGGTTTTCGCTATCTATTGTTACGCCTCGTACAGGTCTGTGTTTCAAGGCATCTCCGGAAAAATTCTGTCCTGTGTCTTTTAATAGGCGGTGATGCGTTCGTGTAATTTTGGTCTCATCAGTTGTAGCATTTGAAGGCTCAATGAAATATCTCTTACCTTTAGTTTGTGATGCAGAATATCTTACATGGCTGGTGATCTTCTGAGTTACATTTTCCTTTCTTTCATTTTCCATTTAGAGCAGGGACATTTAGACGTCTGCTTTTTCCTCATTGCATGTTGAGGTTCAGCTAAAGAACTTTGTAATCGAACAGTCTGAATCGCTCTGGCTATCTGATGATGAAGGCAGATTTTCAGTGTCTAGAAAGAGAGGCTCGAAGTTTAAACTTCTAGGTTTCTATCTTTGCTTTCTCTATTCGCACCTGGTTAACAGGTGTAGAAAAAAGGTCTTTATTTACTGTTCTTTTGGTGTTGCCTCCCGAAGGGATAGGTACATGTGGATCAGCGAATAGAGAAGTAACAGGTCATTCCTTCACAAAGAATTCTCCTCCCCTCTTCCGTGCGTCATCATTCTTTTGCAGGAAGGTAGCCGTGTAAATGGCAGGTTTCATTGAACAAATGAAATTAGTCTGGTTCACGTCACTGCCTACCTCGATAGTTGTCCAATGTGTAAGGGAGGGGTTTTCGTCCAATATCTGCTGTCCAAAATTATTTACATGTATTCTTAGGTCTTTTTTGGGTAGCATCACGAGTGTTCAGGTTCAGCAGTAATAATTTTGTGTACTAAGCTTGGGTTGTTTGAAATGGTAGGGATTGTAGAAGTTCCAAAGGGATCATTAATCGATAAATTAGATCTACTAGTTTTACAAGATGGTCTCAGGAAAAGTGGGTGAATATTTTTCCTTCCTGGTCTCTTTCCCGAAGCGAAGAACTGGGAATTGGGTGGCTGCTGAATAATTCTGTGTTTGTTAGCGCTGGATCGCTCCTGAACTCCAGAGGGAACCTAAGAGAGCTTCCCTAATGGAAGTTCAGCTTTGTGCAATTCCATGCTTTGCTGGAAGGCGCCAGGAGAAATGACAGCTTTAGTCCCTGTGGACTGGACGCTGCCTCTCCGTAAGGACTTTGCCCGCCTGCGAAAGCTGCCCTTGGTCAGGGCAGGGCGGGCAGCGCTCGGCAGCGCTCGGTGCTGCAGTGCCGGGAGGAGGCTGCGGGCGCCGCTGTTGACCGAGAGGAGCGAGAGGAAGCTCGGAGCGCTGCAGCCCCGCCCGCTGCGGAGAGAGTCNCGGCGCCGCCTTCCCGGCCGACTTCTGCGAGGGCACCTTGCCCTACTCCTACAACCTGTGCGTGGCGGCGCCGGCCCGCGCCGTGCCCGAGGCCGCTTGGCCGCAGCCGCCGCCGGTGCCCGTGCTGTCGGCGGAGGAGCTTCTGGGCGCCGATTCCTGCGACAAGCCCAGCCCCAACAGCAGCGCCGTTGTGGGAGATCCTCCCTCGGTCCTTGACGCACCGCAGGTCTGTAAAGCGTGAGCTTCTTCTCTTTTTGCGGCTTTCCGGAAGGTTATCATTTATTCTTGGTTTTCTCTGTGTCATGTCAATTTGGAGTACTGATTTGTATCTCCACTTAGCCGTGGAAATTTTTGATTTCTCCTTGGTAAGAGTTTCAGCTGAGTTGCTTTGAGTACAACTCCCTTTTGAGGTAGTAGCCGTGCTTTTCCCTGTTTCCCGGTGTCTTGTTCTTGTGAGTTTGACTTTCCTATATCCGTGATGGATAGAAATCAGCAAGGAACTATCCCATCTCCATGGAGAGTTGGATAGACTTGATTCCTCATTGATCAAAGGTTCAACTTCAGCAGAGAGTTTTGTCTTCAAGAATTGAGCTCTATGAATTAGGATTTGTTAGCAATATTGAATGTAGATTCGTATTGTGTGGAAGGAGAATGACTGATTCTGCATGAAGGAGTCGAGGAAAAAATAGAGAGCATTGATACTTGGTATTGCAGCTTTTATCCTTCTAGACTGATTTTTTCAGTAAGGGTACGCTTGTAACTCGCTTTTAGCTTTACCCATAACCAATCGTTGAACTTGGTTTCTTTCCTATTAGATTTAGAAATGAAACGAATGTGGAAAGTTCCGCTCTCCATACTTAGAGAACAAAGAGATTGCTGTCCATTTTGTGGGGGACTCGTCCCCCGTAGGCGGAGTAGATGATTTATGCTGGCAGTTCGCTCTGCTTTGCCTTTACCATATTTATTATGTAATCGTGTTGAAAGATTTCTGTTTCAGAGTATTTTGTGTCCTACTTACATAGAGAGTTTGGGGAATTTAGAAGGGCTCGAGAATATCACAGACAGCAAATTTGTGCTATTCTGTTTACTAGGATGGAAAACTGAGTTACGAGGGGTCACATATCAGGGAGATTGGCCAGACAACGATTTAGGCACTTGAATCAAGCCCATTTCCTCAATGATGAGTGGTCAGCACAGTTTCGAGAGGGCAGCCGTACTTTAGTTCTACGATTCTATATTCTATTCTTGGAAACCTGTCGTCCTAACGTCATTAAGAAATACTTAAAATACTTATTTGAATACTTTATTAACGAGCTTCAATAGTTTACACATTGATTTAAGAAAAAGGGAAACCTAGAATGACTTAACAAAATGTAAATCTGTACAAACTAAGGAAACACTAGGTAAATTTTAGGAAGGGATATCAAATATTTGAAATCCTGAAAGCTTCCTTTGAGAGTTTAAGCTGCATCTTTTTTTTTGTACGTGATATTCAATCGTGTAACAATTAGCTCCCTGACTTCAAGAAGTATGCAATTGCTCTCGTCCCGCATATTTAAAGGAAGCTGATAGCTCTGTTTTTTCGGAATGCGGTATCTTCCCGTTTTCTCGCTGAGAGTCTGTTGTTGAAGGTGGTTTTGAACAAAAACGATAAGACTAACAATAAGCTAGAGGGTAAAATACGAAAAATGTGTTTTAATTTACATGCAATGGTAATAGTACGTGATTCGTTTGCCGTGTGGTAAAAGAACCACACCCACGGAATGCCTCCGCCTTTCTCCCGATCGTGATGCCCTGGAAAATCAAAGCAGAGATCGGCTGGAGAAACGCGGAGGCAGGAGATCCGCGCTGGGCGAAAAACGACTTCTCCGTGGCGANGGAGGAGCTTCTGGGCGCCGATTCCTGCGACAAGCCCAGCCCCAACAGCAGCGCCGTGGCGGCGGAGCCGCTCGCAGATCCGGACGCAATTCAGGTCTGTAAAACTCGGCTACTCTTTTTTCCTGCGCCTTTCCTGTGAACGTGTGGTCTTCTGTTTTTCGGTATTGGCTCTCTATTGTTACGCCTCGTACAGGTCTGTGTTTCAAGGCATCTCCGGAAAAATTCTGTCCTGTGTCTTTTAATAGGCGGTGATGCGTTCGGGTAATTTTGGTCTCATCAGTTGTAGTACTTGAAGGCTCAATGAAATGTCTCTTACTTTTAGCTTGTGATGCAGACAATCTGACAGGGCTGGTGATTTTCTGAGTTACATTTTCCTTTCTTTCATTTTCCATTTCGAGCAGGGACATTTAGACGGCTGCTTTTTCCTCATGGCATGTTGAGTTTCAGCTAAAGAACTTTGTCATCGAACAGTGTGAAACACTCTGGGTATCTAATGATGAAGGCAGATTTTCAGTGTGTAGAAGGAGAGGCTCGAAGTTTAAACTTCTAGGTTTCTGTCTTTGCTTTCTCGATTCGCACCTGGGTAACAGGTGTAGAAAAAAGGTCTTTATTTACTGTTGTTTCGGTGTTGCCTCCCGAAGGGAAAGGTACGTGTGGATCAGTGAATAGAGAAGTAACAGGGCATTCCTTCACAAAGAATTCTCCTCCCCTCTTCCGTGTGTCATCATTCTTTTGAAGGAAGGTAGCTGTTTAAATGGCAGGCTTCAGTCAACAAATGAAATTATCCTGATCCATGTCACTGCCTGCCTCGTTAGTTGTGAAATGGGTATGTGAGGGTTTTTCGTTCAATTTGTGCTGTCCAAAACGATTTACGTGTTTTGTTAAGTCTTTTCTAGGTGGAATCATGAGTGTTCAGGTTCAGCAGAAAAAATTTTGTCTACTAAGCTTGGGTTGTTTGAAATGGTAGGGATTGTTGAAGTTCCAAAGGGATCCTTAATCGATCAATTAGATCTACTAGTTATACAAGATGGTCTCAGGAAAAGTGGGTGAATATTTTTCCTTCCTGGTCTCTCTTTCCCGAAGCAAAGAACTGGGAATTGGGTGGCTCCTGAATAATTCTGTGTTTGTTAGTGCTGGATCGCTCCTGAACTCCAGAGGGAACATAAGAGAGCTTCCCTAACGGAAGTTCAGCTTTGTACAATTCCATGCTTTGCTGGAAGGCGTCAGGAGAAATGACAGCTTTAGTACCTCTGGACTGGACGCTGCCTCTCCGTAAGGACTTTGCCCGCCTGCGAAAGCTGCCCTTGGTCAGCGCATGGCGGGCAGCGCTCGGCAGCGCTCGGTGCTGCAGTGCCGAGAGGAGGCTGCGGGCGCCGCTGTTGACNTCTTTTTTCGTGAGCCTTTCTGAAGAGCGTTCCGCATTGTGTTTTTCGGCTCTCTTTTTTTAAGTCTCTCAAAGGTCTGTGTTTCATGGAACTCCCCTAAAAATTCTGTCCCGTGTGTCTTAACAAGAAGCGGTGCGGCCAGGCAGTGTTGGTCCAATCGCAGTTGTAGGCTTGTTGTCGCACTTCTTGGCTTAGTGGAATGTATTTTACCTTTAGGTTGTGGTGCAGGAAATCTTACAGCACTGGTGATGTTCTGAGTTACCGTATTCTTTCCTTCATTTTACACTTAAACCAGGCACATTGAGACGGCAGCTTTTTCCTCATGACGTGTTGAGGTGCAGCTAAAAATCTTTGTCTTCGAACGTGTCTGAAACCCTGCGGGTTTCTAATAATGAAGGCAGATTTTCAGTGTATAGAAGGAGATGCTCGAAGTTTAAACTTCTGGGTTTCTGGCTTTGCTTTCTCGATTGACGCCTGGATAGTACGTGTAGAGAAAAGGTCTTTATTTACTGCTCTTTTGGTGTTGCAGCCCGAAGGGAAAGGTACATGTGGATCATTGAATAGAGAACTAACATGTCATTCATTCCTTCACAATGAATTCTCCTCCCCTCTTCCGTACGCCATCATTCTTTTGAGGGTAGGTAGCTGCGTAAATGGGAGGTTTCAGTGAACACATTAATTTAGCCTGATCCATGTCACTGCCTGCCTCATTCGTTGTCAGACGGGTAGGGAAGCGTTTTTAATTCAATTTGTGCTGTCCAAAATGATTTACGTGTATAGTTAGGTGTCTTTCAGGTGGAAGCATGCGAGTTCAGGTTCATTGGGAAAATTTGGTGTACAAAGCTTGGGTTGTCTGAAATGGTAGGAATTGCTGAAGTTCCAAAGGGATCCATAATCGATAAAAAAAGATCTACTAATTTTACATGACGATCTCAGAAAAGTGAGTGAATATTTTTCCTTTCTGATCCAAATTTCCCGAAGCGAAGAACTGGGACTTGCGTGGCCCCCGAATAATACTGTTTGTTACCACTATTTCGCTTCTGTGCTCCAGAGGGAACGTAAGAGAGCTTCCCTAATGGAGGTTCAGCTTTGTGCGATTCCATGCTTTGCTGGAAGGCGTCAGGAGAAATGACAGCTTTAGTCCCTCTGGACTGGGCGCTGCCTCTCCGTAAGGACTTTGCCCGCCTGCGAAAGCTGCCCTTGGTCAAGGCAGGGCGAGCAGCGCTCGGCAGCGCTCGGTGCTGCAGTGCCGGGAGGAGGCTGCGGGCGCCGCTGTTGACCGAGAGGAGCGAGAGGAAGCTCGGAGCGCTGCAGCCCCGCCCGCTGCGGACAAAGTCGATCGCTCGTTCCCTGTCAGGTTCGGCGGCGGGCGGTTTGCGAGAGTCCCCGCGGTGCGGAGCGGTGCTACAACGAGACGGAAGGACCGGCGGCAGAAGCCGGGAGAGCTGAGCCGGGGCCTGAGTTGAAGAAGGAGGCGAATCGGCAGTCGGAGACGGGGAATTGCCGACCGCGGTGCGGTGACGCTACGGAGATGTGCGCGGCGGGGAGGCGCTGGGGCCGGCGACAGCGAGCTCTGCTTTGGGTGATCCTGATGATGGCGTGGGAGGCGGCGTGGGGGCAGCTGCGCTACTCGGTGCCCGAGGAGATGCCCAAGGGCTCGTTCGTGGGCGACGTGGCCAAGGACCTGCGGCTGCAGCTGCCGGAGAACGGAGACCAAGGCGTCCGCATTGTCTCTGAAGGTACGACGCAGTATTTCGCTCTACATGGGAAGACGGGACATTTAGTGACGGCGGAGAGGATCGATAGAGAGCAGCTGTGCGAGAATGTGCAGCAATGCGTGCTGCGCTGTGAGCTGATAGTGGAGGGGGAAATGAAGGTGTACGGAATCCAGGTGGAAATCACGGACATGAACGACAACGCGCCCAGCTTCCGAGACGCAGAAAAGGAATTGAAAATGAGCGAGATGACAGCCCCAGGATCGCGGTTCCCTCTAGCCCAAGCCCACGACCCGGACTCCGGTCGAAATTCCTTGCAGAGCTACGAGCTGAGTGGTGACGAGCACTTCTCGCTGGCCGTGCAGGCGGGCCCCGGCGGCGATCAGCGTCCCGAGCTGGTGCTGGCGAAGGCGCTGGACCGGGAGGAGGCGGCGTTTCACGAGCTGGTGCTGAGGGCGATGGACGGCGGCGATCCGGCACGGACGGGCACGGCTCGGATCCGCGTGAAGGTTGTCGATGCGAACGACAACGCGCCCGTGTTCAGCCAGGCGGAGTACACGGTGCGTGTGCCCGAGGACGTGCCCGTGGGCTCAACTCTCATAACCCTCAAGGCGATAGACGCCGACGAGGGGCTGAATGGGGAAATTGAATACTCATTTAAGAAAATCAAAGAGAAGTCCTCGCAGGTTTTCCAGCTGGACAGCGACACGGGAGCGATCAGCCTGTTGCAGAGCCTGGACTTCGAGGAAGGAGACTCTTACGAACTAGAGGTACAGGCACATGATGGAGGAGGCCTTTTTGACACAACGAAAGTCGTGGTCACTGTGACAGACGTGAACGACAATGTGCCAGAGATTTCGGTGAGGTCGGCACTGAGCGAGATCTCGGAAGACGCCCCATCGGGAACTGTCGTGGCTCTGCTTCACGTGAGGGACCGGGATGCCGGGGTTAACGGCGAACCGCGGTGCTCGCTCGCTGGGGGCGTCCCGTTCCGACTGGAAAAATCTTTTGATGATTACTATCGCGTGGTGACATCGAGAGAGCTGGACCGAGAGCAGGTGTCGGAGTACAACGTGACGGTGCGGGCGGCCGACGGCGGGTCTCCGTCGCTGCAGAGCAGCGCGGTGCTGGCGCTGCGGGTGCTGGACGTGAACGACAACGCGCCGGTGTTCGCGGAGGAGCGCTACAGCGCGCGGCTGG